CAATAGTTTAAGAGAAGTTAATTATTATTCCCTGTTTTAGGATTTTGGTTGAATTATATGATCAATATCTCACCCATGATGAACTTCTATATTTAGGAGGAATACAGTGGATTAGTAACAGGGTGAGACATTGTTTAAATTTTTTTTTTATAATTTACAGTAAATAATGTACGTATAACATAATTTCCTTGATGGTTATAGTTGATGACTATGCTATGCCATGCATTAATGGGTGATATCAAGGATTCAGGTCCAGTTTATCGTCATATATTTAATGCTGACTTCATGATTAGCTTCTAATGAAGTTAAATTTAAATCTCATATTCACTATTTTTTGTTTTTGTAATTTGTTGTATACTATGTTATTGTAGTGCAAAATGACATCAAATCCCCTCATTTGGAAGGAAGCAAAGAACAAGAGGGAGATCTTGCTTGAATATTACCTTTCCTTTGAGTTTCTCTCTTCTCTCTACCTAGTTCTTTCTTAACTCTATAGTATCTCTACTCCCTTTCTCTCCTTTCTATATTATCTTCCCCCTTCTCTTTCCCTGCTCTGCATCAATCAAAATGAAAGGAAGAAAAAGAAATAATTAAAGATATTAAAGATTTGAGAAGACTGAAAAATTGAAGATATTTTATGAATTAGGAACATTTTTCTTTAATTGTCATAATATTTAACTTATTATTATCTTTTTATTTAATTTTAGGATTTCAAGAATTTCTTGCATTTAATTCTAGGATTAAGGTTGAGGCCTATAAATAGTGTCTTAGCTCGTTTGTTTTGTTGACTCACATTTGATTAAGTAAGAATTACTGTTATCTTGCCTCTCCTCCTAGTTTTTCTCTTCTCTCTATTCTCTCTATTGATCTATTTCTCTCTTTTCTATATCCTCTTTCTCCTTCTCCTTCCCCATTCTACATTAATTGGCATCAAAGCTCAAGTTCTCATTCTGCTTCTATTACCAAACCTACTCTAAAATACCTTCTTAGTAACAAGAATCACCATATGAAAATGCAACACTTTAGGAGATAAGTTTATAACTTAAGGCTCCTTAAGTTACTCGACGAAGTTTTTTGATCCTAAATTCTTGGTCCCTTATTCCTTGTCTCTTTTCCTAATTCCTTTTTCCTATTATTCTTGTTTGTTTCCACTTTCCTTCACTTTAAGTCATTCTACTATATTATTTTGTTTTCCATATTTTGTTTCCTTCCTTCCTTTATTTAATGATTATTCCATTTTTCCTTTTCTTCATTCACTCATTCAATTTTTCCTATAATTTAAAAGTCCACCTTATAAATAGTTTAGCCCTATACCTGGGTCAAAATCTACCCTAGGCTAGTTTAAGTTTCTACTAGTTTCCCTAAGGGGTTTCCAAGCTCCAAAGGTCACTATAAAAACTTCACTCAAGTTGTTACTTATTTAGCATATTTGATCCCTAGGAATTTTTGAGTTATTGAAGGATTAGACTTGTTGAATAGGGTATTCACCTTTTAGGTGATGACACCTTAAGAACATTTTCTTAAATAGGATATTAGAGTCTCCCAGTCAAAATAAAAAAAACACCTTCAAATATGATGTTATGGGCTCATTCAATCACTGATATGATTATATTAACCATCATCAATATGATTGTATTGATTATTATTGATATAATTATCATTGTCAATATGATTATACTGATCATTACTGCTATGATTATGCCAATCATCATCATTGTCACTATCAATATGATTTAGTTGATCAATTAGATTTGGATTTCATATGTTCACATCTTGAACTTGTGAGAGATAAAATTGATGAACTCTAAAGCTTCATTCAATCCACATTTAAAGAAGGACATTGCTATCAAGTTGAGAAAGAGAAGTTATATCAAAAGGAAATAACTTCTAATCCTCTTAATAGTATTTTAAGAAATCAGAGTTAAGAACCATGGTCCTTAATTGTGATTAAAAAATATAATTTGTGAGGTGGGATTCATTATTAGCACTTGGGAATTCACTAACCTAACTTGAGAAAATTTGTAATGTATATTGTAAAAACATGAAACCTCACTTGAAAATTGAATGTTTAACAAAAAGGGCCACTTGAGAATTCACTAACTCGACTTGAAAAAATTTCTAACATATATTGTGAAAACATGAAATTTCACTTGGGAATTGATTGTTTAATAAAAAACACCAATTTGGATAAGTCACTTTTTATTAATGATTCTCAAGTGGGGTTTTATTTTTTCACAATATACATGAAAAATTTTTCAAGTCTAGTTAGTGAATTCCCAAGTGGCTCTTTTTGTTAAACATTTCATTTCTAAGTGGGGTTTTATGTTTTCATAATATACGTTAGTAATTTTCTCAAGTTAGGTTAGTGAATTCTCAAGTCGCGTTAGTGAATCCCACCTCACAAATTATATTTTTTTATCACAATTAAGGACCATGGTTCTTAACTCTGATTTCAAAATTTCACGGTCTGTAATTGAGATTAATATTCTTAGCAGATCCTTAATTATCATTGTCCCTTTAAATTATTAATTAAAATTATTCAATTAATGATAAAATTTTGATGAGTGATTTTCGGAGTTTGCATATCAAAAAACTAGAAAAATAATATTATTAGTTGATAACTAATATCAATTTTGACCTCTTCTATAACATCATCTAATTCCCATGAGTTCCTTTCACATTTAAAATTTATGGCAACCAAACCACACTCTTTAAGACAATTTAGACTGGCTAGTGTCATTTTCTCAATTGATAAAGCATATAATTATTCAAATAAATGTATATGATATTAATTTTTTAATTTAGGGTATAATGAGAAATAAATGTCTTTCAAATCTTTGACACCTCTCTTCAGTTAAAAATGCTATTCCTATAAAAAAATTATTCAAAAAGCATTCAAAGCGCTCTAATATGGTTACATGGGTTCAAGAGCATATATATTCCTATCTTAATGTTACATTAGAATAAATTTCAATCTCACGTTACTTAATCTTATATCCGCTTAAGAGTCCCTTTTCAAATTCAAAACCCAATCCCCGATTTCATACATAATAGTGGCCAAGATTACATAGACAAGCAAGAAAGATTGAGTAAATAAAACTAATTAGTTCAAACATGCTGTAATTCATAAATTATATTAGTTCATCTATAGCTACTCAAGGTCAAAAGAGAATTAGTCACATGTGACTCTAATAACAACAAACTAAAGCAATAGATACGTTGAAATAAAGAGATAGTGGACTTTGAAAAAAAAAACTTAATCAAAACAATCTTGAGCCAAACCCTTAAATTTTAATTAATCTCCCAAGCTTCTCCAACTTTTTTTTTACATCGTTTTCTCTGTAGGGATGAATTGTTGTTGTAGGAATTGATCGATGTCCAAACTCAACATCTCCAAACTCTAAAATTGGTTTGGATTTCAAAACTTTGAGTTATGCTAAAAATTTACGCTGCAGTAAATCTTTCCTTACTGGAGCAAAGGCATCTATACATTACTTCTCACCAAATCCATCCTTTTAGACTTGGCCAGGCCTTGAACATGAACTTGGCCTACAGGATTGAGCCCACTCAACCTTTAATTAGTGATAGGGGTGTTCATAGGTTTGGTTTGGTTTGGTTTTGGGCAAAAACCAAACCGAACCGAATCAATTGGTTTACTTATTAATGGGACCTTATCGGTTTTTGTTATAATCGGTTTGGTTCGGTTTTATGTTCGGTTTGGTTAATGTTTAGATCAAGTTTTAATGAATTTATTTATTTATTTTTCTTTTTTATCCATATTCATTAAACCTAATTTTTTTGACTCCTTTTTTTATAAATAGAGGCATAAAAATATAATAAAATTTTAATATGATAACAATAATTAATCATAAAAATTGATATTAGTAATAGTGTTTAGAATTAAAATTATTTAATGTTATGAATTTTTATTCAGGTCATTTAAAAATATTTATCTACATATCTATATTTTAACATGTAATATATAACGAAAAATAACTATAAAAAATTCTAAACAAAATGTTTCTTATAAATAAATTGAATATATGAAACTTTTGGTTTAAGTCTTTTTGTGTGGACAAAACTAGAGGACAAATATCCTCGAAAGCAGCATGGGCGAGGAATGAAATTAAACGAGTCAGGAAGCTAGGGTACATTTATTATATACTTATACTGTAATTTAGAACAACATATCCAGCAGACCAACACCCATCATGGTCTATGTTTATCATTCTTTCTCTATTTTTAACATTTTAGCTTTCCAAGTTTATAATATAGTTGTCAATATAATGTAATCTCTTATTCTCTTTCCATTATGACAAATCCTTGTCATCATTGTTTTCTTTTTCACTTTCTCACGTTGACACTAACTCATCTTGTTTTTTCCATTCTTACAGTGATGAGAACGACAGGCAACAATGAGGCCAAGCCTTTGATTATGAGCCTGAAGTTTGTGAAAATAAAAAAGAACATGTTAATCATTGACTTCCTTCAAGGTGTGCATGTGATAAGCCAATAATTATTCAAACATAGAGAAAGCAAAAAGTTGCCAAGTGTTGCTGTCTTAATCTAAAGCAATAAGATGATACTAATTGTTAGATTCTCATTTCTTAACACATACAATTTATATAACCTCATGTCTTTAGCAATCATTTCTCAATATCATAATATCTATCATAATATTCACTTAAACTATACCAAATGTCTAGCATTCCAAAAAAAAAATTGACATATTTAATTACAACTTGTCCTTAAACTAAAAAGAGACATTCATATGCTTGAAATTATCCAAAAAAAAAAAGCATTCCATCTCAAGCATCAATCAATTGTTATATGAGGCATAACACCTGAAATGAAGGAAGAAAACAAGTCAATATCCAAATAAAAAGAATAATTTTATGACAAATAAAATAATTGACACATATATACTATATAGTACATTAGTACTTACATATACAAAAAGAGGTTAGAAGATCTTGATAGCTAATTATCATCATCTTCATTCAAAGTGACAACACCAAGATCTATAATAATAAAACAAATTGTCAAAGCAATGAATAATCTAGTAAATAATTAAACTAAATAAACATCACTTTCAATTGTAAAAATATTACCAATTTCTATTTTCTCAATTTCATCCACCTTCTCTTTAACATCACTTGCTAATGGAGTAGATCGAAACCAATTATTTGCACAAATAAGGGCTTCCACTGTCTTGATACCCAATGAACATCTATACTCATTTAGTATACGACCCCCAGTGCTGAAAGCAGATTCAGAAGCTATAGTGGAGATAGGCATGGCTAATACATCCCTAGCAATTTGTCCAATGACAAGATATTTAAATGAATTCACTTTCCACCAATTAAGTATGTCAAATTTGGGATTTGTTTTTTCTCTAGTCTCCATCAAGTAGAGGTCCAACTCTGATTGATTTTCAACATTATCATCTTCATTCATAACTTTATCAAACTCCATTGCAAATGAATCTTTTTCACCATCATCATAGGAAACACCTTCCTTCACTTGGGATTGAGTATTGGTTGAACTTTTTTTAAGGCCATGAAAAGACTTGTATCTATCATACATCTTGAAGAGCAACTCTTTCACCTGCCTAGTGAAATATTCAGCCATATCTTCATCGTAGAGTTTTTTCAAACTCCACTCCACAAATTTCAACTTGTACCTAGGATCAAGTACCACAGCTATAAAGATCATCATATTCAAATTATCAACATTCCCCCAATACTTGTCATGTTTTTGTTTCATCTTCCTTGCCATTGAATTTAACAAAGGATCATCACTTAGACACATATCATTCAAAGTCTTTACTACCAAGCAAAACTCATGAAAATATTGAGAAGATGTAACATATAATGAGCCAAAGACTTTTTTGGTGACATCAAAAAATATTTTCAAGAATTTGACAAAAACATGTGCATTTTCCCAATCCTTTATGGTTGGGGGTCCTTCCTTATCAATTGCAAAAGTAGTATCCTTTTCTTCTAATCTCTTGAATGCCTTTTGAAATTTTAAGGCACTTTCAAGCATTATGTAAGTAGAATTCCATCTTGTAGGACAATCTAACTTCACAATATCCTTTTCTTGAATTCTTGTTTGCTCTACACAAGACTTGAACTTTTGGAACCGTAATGGTGATGCACGAATATATCGAACTGCATTTCTAATTCTTGTTAAAGTATCACCAATCTCTTTCAACCCATCATTAACAACTAAATTCAAGATGTGTGCACAACATCTAACATGCATGTATTCTCCTTTCATAATGTGCCCATTCCAATCAAGTATCCTATCTTTAACATAAGATATAGCAGTGTCATTACTTGAGGCATTATCAACTGTAACTGTAAAAACTCTATCAATTCCCCAACTCAACAAACACTTCTCAATCAATTCACTAATAGTTTCACCTTTATGATCAGCAATTTGACAAAAGTTCAAAATTCTTTTATGCAATTTCCACTCATCATCAATGAAATGTCCAGTGAGGCATAAGTAATTCATATTTTGTAAAGATGTCCAGCAATCAGTGGTCAAACAAACACTTTGTTTTGATTTACAAAATACATTCCTTAACTTAGCTTGTTCAGACAAGTAAAGACTCAAGCAATCTCTAGCTACTGTAGTACGTGATGGAAGGGGAAATAGAGGTTGTGCAATACTCATGAAATACTGAAAACCTTCATTCTCAACAAATTTAAAAGGCAACTCATCAACAATTATCATTCTAGCAAGAGCTTGCCTGCAAGAATTAAGATCAAATGTCACCCCCTTCAAACTAGTTCCATAACCTTCTCCTTCTTCTTTTTTTTTAGTTGGAAGGAAAGTTTAGGTTGTTTAGGATCTGTATATCTAACACCAAATTTCTTGCATCTTTCTTCTAAATGTGTTGCCATGTTAGAAATTCCATTTCTTTTTTTATGACAAGCATAATCAAAGCCACACCAATTACATGTGGCCCTTGGAAATTCAGGATCACAACCCTCCATCAAAGTAAAATGACTCCATACCCAAGATTCAGGTCTAGTTGGTTTTTTTTTACCTGTAACTTTTGAATTTTCTGGTTGCTTTTCACCTTTGTCTTTCTCTTGCTCTTGATCTTTCTCTTGCTCTTTCTCTTTCTCTTTTTGTTGATTTGAATCCATAGTTACATGAGCATTGTTAATCAATTCCGGTTTGTTATTCTTAGGTTGCTCATCATCATCATGAACATCCATCAACTCCATATATGTTTCTTGCTGAAAAAAACATAAGCAATTATATCAATCAAATATGATACTAAATGCTTTTTGTAAAAAAAAATACCATATAAAACATTTACCTCATTTTCACTCATATTGAAACTCTAGGATATGCACTGTGCAAGTAGCCTCTCAAGAAAGACAAATAATCTTGCATTATATTATGAAAGGAAATATAATTTAATAAAGTAAATTAAATTAAGTTGTTCTATTAAAAAGACAATATGCTATCCTCTTTATTAAAAAAGTTAAAAATTATGTTCACTCTATTACCTATTGTATTCATGTGCATATCATTGATATGATATCAAAACAAAACAAGTGGTCCCTCTTAGTCTCTTTGCTCTACCGGTCTACCCCACAGTCCCACTTACTTATATTGTTTTAAAATCAAAGCAATAATCTTTTATCAATTGCAGAGCAAGTCAACCTAATTAGGCAACAATCTTTGATCAACAAACGCATCATATAACTTATAAATCTAAGTCAACCTAAACACCAAAATAAGAATAAGAATAGTGGCAAGGCAATCAGGCAACGGCTAGGATTAGGAAACAAGATTATTATACCAACCGAAGCTCTAGAGTCCAGGCAACTGAGATAGGGAAGTAAAATGCAGAAAGTGATTCAGACTGTGGCTCGAACTTGAAAGTGGAACTGTAGAAGTTGAACTCGAGTAGACTTGTTCTGGGACGCCGCGAGTGGCTGATGGCTGTAGCCTGTGCGAGTGTGCGCGACTTGGAAGTGGAACTATAGAAAGTGAAAACCGAACTTGAGTAGCCGACGGTGAACTCTGCTCTGTGACGAACTCTTTGGTCTGCAACTCTGTGAGTGACTGACGGGCGACGGCTGTGGCTTGTGTGCAACGCTGTGAGTGGCCGACGACTGTGGCTTGTGTGCGACTTGGGTACTGGACTTTGTGTTTCGTGTCCGTTGTCGGTCGTCCAAGACTGACTCTGTCTATCTATGGCTCTGCGTCGTCTTTGGCTTGGTTCTGAGGTTCTCTGCAGTCTGTGTGTGTCTATCTGTGTGATGCGTATTGTGCAAGCCTGGCTCAAGCATTAAGGAAACCTAAACCTAAAGTGTGAGCCACACGTAAAGGAAGGCAGGTCGTGAGTCGTTCGTGTCTTCGTGAGTCGTGACTCTCTCTGGCCAGGCTGAAGTTGAACCACTCTGTGATGTGATGAATCCGTGACCGTGAGGATTGAGGCATGAGCGTGAGCATGACGTGAAGTTTGGTCTGACTAAGCCTGATGGTCTCTCCTAATCTCATTTGGGCTTGGGAAGTGGGCTACTAATTATTTATTGGGTAATGGGCTGGGTAAGGCATAAGGGGGTTTGGGTTTATTTGGATTGAAATTAAGGTTACATATTTTATAAATAAATGAATAATATTTTGTTAATCAGGTCTGGTTTAGGTCTAGTTCGGTTTTTAATTTTCAAAACCAAAACCTGAACCAAACCATTCGGTTTCCTTATCCTAAAAACCGAAGCAGATTTGATTGTTGATCGATTTTGATCGGTTCCTTTCGGTTTGGGTTGGTTTGGATCAGTCCGTTCGGTTTGGATCGGTTTTGAACACCCTTAATTAGTGATTTCCTCAATTTCTTTTAAAATGAACCCAATTTATCATAAATAACACTAAGATAACTGCATTTTAAATGTAATTATAAGTGAATAAAATTTATAAAACATTAGGAGTGATCAGTTGTTTAGTTTACAAATGAAAGAATACTGAAATTAAATAAGGACGACAGGTCAAAAGATTAGAGAAAGGCTAACCAAGTAAAGGCAATTAAATAAAAAATTATTGACAATTCTTCTTGACAGAATTTGTAGTTACCCAAAATTTTAAAATTTAATAAATTTTTTTTTATTTTTTTAATTGATATTTAATTTTAAGATAAATAAGAAATGATAATTTATTAAAATTTATACTGATTATTTATATGAAGATTTAAAATTTTAATTTTATTTAAATTAATGTTCGTTGTATTTTTTTTAGAAGAAAGTGCTGAAGTGACATTGCCTTTGTCTTTGCCTCTTATTATAGAAGATAATAAAAACGATAATAAATATTAAAAAACATCTGATGGGGTCTTGTTTGTAATTTCACCGACTTTTATATTTTATTTTTTCCTTCTTCTTTGCCGGTGAGCTATATATGAGAAGGGTGAGAGAGTGTCTGAGGGCGGTGTCTGTTTTCTTTCTGCGTTTCCCCTCACTGTTGGTTCCTGTTTCTCTCCCTCATCACCGACTATCCTTCCACCGTCATCAGTCGTCGGCTATCCTTTCCTCTGTCAGCGCCGATCGTCTTTTGTGGTGTGGGAGTCACCGGATCTTCAACTTGGTCTGCTGCCTTGTTTCCTTTCTGATCTCTTCTACTTCATCCTCGATCCAGCCACCTCTATCCTTTGCTCTTCAACACGCTGCTGATGAGAACAGGATCTCCACTTGCCACTGCTGTGATGTCCACCCTGAACCACAGTATTGTGGTGTAAATCGTGAGTCCTTTCCTCCCCTGTTCTATGTTGAATTTCCTCTTTCTTTCCTTGATCTGTGTTTGCCGTGGACCTCTGTTTTGAGCATGAGTATCGAAACTTTTCTCCTTCCTCGCATTGTAATTGCTCTCCCTGGTTCGACGTGTTGGTGGATGCTATTCTTGTCCTCATTGAATCCCCTACGCGCGTGCGTGTGTTCTAATGGTTGATGTTGTAAATTGTTTCTCTTGCTAAATCTGTGTGTGTGAGAGAGAGAGTGATTAGTGTGAAATTGCTATTTTTCCTGCTCAATGTGCTGTGTGAATTTTCTTCTTCCTCTGCTGCACGTGCTTGTGAAAAAAGGGCTGTGGAGTTAAGCTGAATTTTAGTCCAACGAAGGTGACTTAGTGTGGGCTTGAGCTGTATTAAAATTTATATTGATTTTGTTAATAGAATGGACTTGGGAAGTTGATTTATTGATATATTAGTAATGGAAATTTTTAGAAGGTAGAATCGCATAGGAAGAATCTTAATGATGATTTAAAGTTTAATGCTCACAGGGTGTTTAACAAAATGATCAAAAGGGATTTTTTTTCATTTATATAACGGCATAATATACATATGATGTGTGTATTGTTGATTAAATAAATTACCATTAGGAGTTAATTACTCTGATGAAAGTTGGGAGGTGAATAGTTTAATTATAAATAAAAGTGGAGGTTTTTTTTCTTTTGTCTTTTTAAGTTGTTTGGGATTTCAGTAGTTTAGGTGGTATTGCATGATTGGAAAAGTGACAATGATATTATTTGAATATTAAAAATTTTAGAACAAAGCATTGATCCTTAAGGATTAGTTTAGAAGTAAGTTATATATTTGAAAACTTTACAATTAAGTAGATAACGTCTCAATCGGTTTGTGAATAATTTTTTTTCTTTTCTTTCTTTTCTTTTCAAAGATATTTTTACTTAAATCATTTAATAACAATTATATTACATATTTAATGCTTTGTTAATTAAATTATTTTTATCTTGAAAAATTATAAAGGGATGTGGAAGACTATTTGAATTATGACGTATATGTATTTTACCTTACAAAGGATACTTTTAAGATTGATGAAATTATTTTTATCAATTTTAGTAATTTTGGTTTCTCAATAAATGCAAGCATGGAGATTAGTATGAAATTTTATTCAGGCAAGTTTTCATTGCACAAAATTCTTTCATGTGAGTTTGATTTTGAAAATGAAAATTGTATTTTAATAGTGATGACTTTCTCACATGTTTGAAAATAAATTTAGAGGGAATTTTATACAGAACACTGGTTGCTAACGGCAGTTTTGTTAGCCCTTGACACACTATGATTAATGATTAGCTAGTTTGATTTTTATGAGCTCTGTTCTCACGTATTTGTGAGTCATGTACTCATGTTTGTTTTTATGGTTTTGAACCGCATTTGATTAGTATTACCCTCATCACTTTGTGTCCACGTTTGTTTTGTAGCTTATGCTATGTTTGGTTACTTACTCTCGTGGACTGTGTGTTCACGTTTGTTTTCGTAGCATAAGCCGCTTTTGGTTATTTACCCTCGTGGACTGTGTGTTCATGTTTGTGAATTGTTCTGATAAATCCCTAAAAATATGATTTTATTTTTTAAAAAAAATTATCGATGATTTCCTATTTAATGGTTTTCAATTAATAAATATTTTTATTCTTATTTATTATTTAATTAGTTTGATTTATCAAGATTAAATGTTAGTTGCTTTATTATTATAGATTTAAATATTCTTGTTATTGAAGTTGTTTAGAATTTTTTTAATCTAAATTATAAATTTTATTATATTGAATCACTTTATCTTTAATTTCTATAACTGTTGTAAATTATTAAATTTTATCTTGTAAAATTTGATGGTTGGGATGTTATTTACTGAAAAGTATTTTGATCTTAGAGAGCGTAGGTGGATCTCTACGTCCTGCTTACAAATAATGAATTTTTGCTAAGCTGGGTGGGAGTTTGTTATGTAAATATTTATTATTGATATAAATATGAAATTTATCTATTATGTCATGAAGAATATGTTTAGGTGCTTCACATAAATTATAGTTAGAGTCATTATTTTATTATATATTTTGTTTGTTGGACAAAAAGGACGAGAGGCCCTAATTATAGTGATTTCTATTTGAGAACTTTATAGTAAACTTTTTGGGGGTTCATATTTACAGTAGTAGTTTTGCCCAAATATTTACAAAAAATATATATATATGAAGACTTTTATTTGAAGGAAATACATTAAAAATGTCTTAATTCTAATACTAATATAATTACGATGTGAAAAAATAATAGAAAATTTTATTTAATTAAGGCTTAAAGGATATGGGTCCGTACACATATTTTATGCCGGTCACTCCTGTTTTTTGGGAAGTGACAAAATCTTTTAAAGAATAAATTACAAACATTGATTCTGCAACTAAGAGTTGCAATTGCAAACTTAGAGTTATATTTAAAATTTAAATCCTTTATTTGCAATTGAAACTCCTAAATTTAAAGTTGTCTAAATTAATATTTACATGTGATTTTTCAAAAAAAATTCTATCAAGGACGTAACTATTCTTAATTCTCTATTTTGGGATTTTATTACCATTCTCTCTTTTGTTTTCCCGTGCCATGCATTGAATATAAAGATATTTTTTTTTGATTAAATTATACTTTTAGTTCTCTAATTTTATATAAAATTTTAATTTAATTTTTTAATTTTATAAAGTATTTTTTATTCCTCTAATCCTAATACCGTTAATTTTAAATAGTTACTTTTTTGTGACAATTATTACTATTTTGAATAAAATTAAACTTAATATGTCACTGTTTGAAAATATCTTGTCAATATTTTAAAGTTTAATTTATAAATTTTTTTTTGTAATGAAATTAATGGTGTTAGAATTAAAGGATTGAAAAGATAATTTATAAAATTAAGAAATCAAAATAAAATTTTATATAAATTTAAAGAATGAAATATATATTAGCCACAACTAGTTTTTATAATATTTGACTTAAATTTTAACATTTAGGCCACCTTGACGATAAACATAAAAGAGACTTAATTTGGCTTTACAAGCATAATTGTAGTTCCAGTAACAAAACAGTAACGAAAGTAACAAATTAAACCAGTAACTCACCCATCATCAGAGGCTCCTACGCGCGGACAGCAGATAGAGGCAAGCCGGAGCGAGGAAAATGGAAAGCGAAAAAACGAGAAAGTAGGGAATAACATTTATGGACTGGATTCATTTGGTTGGCTTCATCATCTTGAGACTCTCGATCAATTTCACCATCTTCTTCAACAAAAATGTCATTGCTTCCATAAAATAAAATAAGAATAATCCATATATAGAAATCTCCAAGTTGACGAAAAATGGGAAGACGACTTCCAAGAGGAAACCTTCCTAAGATGCGAACAAATAGGATGAAGAAAATGGAGATGAATCCAATGACACTGATGACATCTGCAAGCAACGTGTTATTGCTGATAACCAGACGTATAGCGGCTAGGAATGCCACAGGCATGGTTATAAGAGCAACATAAACAAAAATCTTACCAAGTCCGTACGCTCTTTGTGCAAAGCGAAGATCACCCAGCGGGACCCAAAGAAGAATAGTAGAACCAATGGTGGAGCTGTACATAGCTATTGTGTTGAATGCCGTGAATATCAAGAGTAAAACCCACCTGGTTCAGTGAAACCAGCTGTAAATGTTACTGTAGCTATCAGCACGGCCACAAGTATGACTGTTGCGGCTGCGTCTTTCACTTTCCAATCTTCATTGGCTGATAGTTTCCGGGGTACACCGAGCATATTTTTCTTGAGAAGCACCCCAGCTCTTCTTAAAATTACATCTGCTAAGAACTGCATCATAATTGAATCAAACAAGCATGCATTACATACTATGGAGCTGTTTAGCGGCTAAAAAGGATGTGAATAAAATAAATAAAATAAAAATTAAATGAACTAAATTACATTCTATTTCATAGTAAGTATGATAAAACCTACTATCAAATATCATTGATGTAGGAACTATCACACCTTTTAAATATCTCATGAAAATCGTGATTCTCAATCTTATTAATTAAATTGCCCTTCTCTCTGATTGCCTTATCTATTTTTCACATATTACTCATTTTATTTTTCTCCAATTCATTCCATTTCCTTTCCTTTCAGCAAGCAAAAAAACCGTACATTCTTCTATAAAACAAGTATCTAGAATCAAAACCTTTTCAAATCTTCAGAAGACAGCTGAGAATAGATGCCTATTAATCATACCTCTTGACGTGTCATTGGAGTTTTACATCGCATCCGAACAACATCTCGAGATGTTAAACCTTCATTATTGACCAGGTTCGCATTGATCTTTTTGTCTTATAAAAGAAGTAGCAGAGTCCAAAGATGTAGGTTTTTTGAAGCCAGGTGCAGCGGCGTATCTCCATGCAAGTCTCTCTCATTGACAGTGTGAGGATGAATCTAGGATTTTCCAGTAAGTATTTTATCACATTTGTGTGTCCCTTGATTGCTGCAGCGTGAAGAATGTTTTGTCCTTCATTATTCAGGCAAAATCCAGCATCAGACCACTGAATTACAAGCAGATTTTTTACCACTTGAACATGGCCCTTTTCGCAGGCGAGGTGGATTGGAAGATTACCGTCTAAGTTTTGCTGAAAAGCAAACAAGGGAGAAGAATATTTTGACATTATATGAACACCTCCCAAGAAACCAGCGCATGCTGCATAATGGAAGGGAGTGTTGTGTCTTTCATCTTTTTGATACATGATCTCTTCTGGTCCTCGTCTCACTATGTATTTCAATAGTTCTTCACTCAAACACAAACACATATTAGGTGCAAGAAAATCAAACTGACCAAAAGCATCAAGCATGTTATAATTTATGAGTAAATATATATACATGTACTGACCAGTATTTCGTTCCAATATCGCGGCATTAAGCGGAAAGTCTCCACTTGAAATGGCCTGGTGATCTGAAGGAATTGCAATTTTCTCTAGGAGATAAGCAAGAATCACCATATTCTTTGTCGTGACGGCCAAATACATTGGTGATTTGCATCCATAATTCTTGTTCCAAGTCCAATAGGCAGCCAAAACACTTCTCCTATGCCCATTTAAAAGCAGAACCACCCTATCTGAATGCTGGCTCAAAACAGCTTCGTGCAAAGCTGTCCTCTGATAATTATTTCTTAATATTACAAATTTGGTTTTGTCTATCAATTTGGCCTTCTTTGATATAATGTGGAGAATAACCTTGATCGCTTCAATATTCTTTGCTCGCGAAGCAACATGAAGTGACGTATCACCTTTCTTATTTCTCTTACTTAGAAGATTGGGATAGTGAGAAGCAATCAGCTCCACAACTTCTTCCCTCCCAAATTCAGCTGCAACATGAAGCAACGAATCACCAGTGGGAGTGACATTATTAAAAATGGTGGCCAAATCTACTTTATTTACTGTACATTCTGCTTTCAAGTGTGAAACAAAGCAATCTGCATCTTCATCCCGATCACGAACAGATTTGTACAATTTATAGAACGTGGATGAAAATTGTGGCATCATTAACACCATGCTTCCAGTTGACTGCTCATCATCATCATGTGACGAACTGAACTTCTTTACCATCAGTTCACTCATCTCCGACCTCCAGTCTGAATCGCTCTCTTCCGTGTAAATTCCCGCATCTTCCGGATTGCTCATGACAACTAGCGCCATACAATCCAAAATATTAGGGGGGATGACAGGCCGATATTCACATCATATGAAGCTATTTATTTTGGACGCACATTCAGTGCTCATCATGACTGATTGTCAGATTTAATCGGGTCGGTCGGTTCATATTTAAACCTCTTATTGTTATTTTTTATTTCTATTTATAAAATTATTAGTAAATCTACTCATTTTTACTAACCTAAGCAATACATATTTAATTTGGATGATTCAAATTTAATATTAAAGTTCTTTATAATTTTAATCAATTGACTACACAATTTATTCTGGATAGTTCAAATTTAAAATTTATAATTTATAATTTTTTTAAAAAATGGATATTAACATTGTTTTTAATATTGTATTTATCAAACTAAAAATTTATAAGAATTATTAACAAAAAGTTTAATATTAAATTTAGATCACAAAACTTGGATAGTGAATTTGTCACATCTAAAAACCTGATGTGATCGGCACGAGATATGTGTACAAGACCGCATCCTTTAAACCTTGTACACAAGTTATTACAAAATAAGATATAATGCTTTTAATATTTGCCATATATGTCAAACATTAAGTTTCTTGGAAAGAAAAATTTCAGCAAGTATTCTTCTATAGTTAAGAATTCTCAAAATTTTTCAACAATAAAACATCAATAATTCAACAAAAGAAGCTCCATTTCCTACTAACAAATATACAATTTTATTAAAAAATATGGATCATGCTATAGTCTACATGGAGCATGGACCAGACAATAAAAGTAATACATAAGTCCAAATATACATTGAGTTGAGGTTCTCTTGAAATAATCCTTGCACCTCATTTCAACGATAAATCTCTTTAATGAACATTTGAGATGTAAATTAAGTTATATCATCTGAGACTAAAAGTATTTTTTTTAGTAAATAATTTCCCAACTTTAATACTAAAGGAAATAAAAGAAAGAAATATAAATGGAATAAACATGAATTTAATTAAAATAGTCATTTAGTATGGAAAAAGTGTATAACTCAAATAAAATAATTTCACTTAAACACTTGACTTGAAAACATATTCAAAGGATGACAACACAAAAATCAAGTTCCACTTTCTAACTATCAAGCTCACATCGAGCAGTTAAGAGTAGTATCATTTATTATAAAAAAATTCATTCATGAAAACTAGCTTGTTTGATAGGTTTAATTTAAGACAAAAATTTCAAAATTTTCTTTTGTAGGATTTTATTAGAGCAAATAACAAGTGTGAACATAAAGCCCACGAGGGTAAATAACTAACAAGTATGGACACAAAATCTATGAAGTAAATAACCAAGCACGATAAAAAGCCATGACACAAGCGTGGCAAGAGCCATGAAACAAGCACGAATATAATGCTCACGAATATCTATCTTTCCATTCCACATGTATTGGCTTGCACGCGAGGCTAGTATCTTCTATAAACACCCTGCTAGCTAGATGTATAATGACACGTCAAGGGTTAATGGAACTGTCATTAACAACTAGCATTTTGATTCAATTCCACATTTCAAATCAAATATATGTGGATATAAAATTAACATAATGTCCCTTATATATAGATCAACATAGCAATTGCCTCCGGATATTCATTTGAAGAAAATAATCTCAAATATTTCTATAAAATTCATTTACGTAGAAAACATTTCCAAATTCAATCGTTCATAATAAAATTAAAATCATAAACCATTAAGTAAGATTAAATTAAAAATATTTTATATTTTATTTTTAAGAAATAAAAAAGTTTATATAAATAGAGAATGTACCATATAAATATTGTAATAATCCATAATTTTTAAATAAAATTAAAATATAAAATAACATTTTTAATTATATTTATATTAATTTTTTTAAAAAAATTATTTTTATTAAACAAGAATGTTGGTTTGGTGGAATTTTATTGATAATTTATTACAAGATCCACAAGGTCAGATTACTCTTTCAAAAAGACAGATTTATTTTATGCGGGTTTCAGCTTTGCAAATTTACTATTTTGACCTCAAAAGCAATCAAATTTTCTCTTTCCTGGACCATTTTCTTTTCGTTTTCGTTAGTCCAACAAAATCAGAAACAGAGGATAGAGACGTGAGAGAGTGAGATCCAAATTTGAGCCTTCATTCTCCTCCTTGCTTGGCTTTCCTCCTTCACCAGTGAAGTGGTGTATCGTCTTCCGCCGCTGCAAGGTGTTCCGATGAAGTGACTATCGGCCTTCTCCCCCGTTGTGTCAGCCAAGAAACTGCCCTTGTTGACGGTGGGTGTCGGATCCTTCTCCCTCCTCTGTTCTTAGGGTCACCGGCGTGGGTGGCAAGGATTCGACTTGCCACCACCTTCCTCTACCTATGCTTCACTTCGTTCAAGTTTTTCTGCCGTCTCCTTCTGCTCTTCTTCCCTGACTGCTGTAGTAGATCAAAGACCGTTCCTCTTTTCCTCACCGACATCGACTGTGTGGGGTAGAGCTGATCCTTTCTTCCATCCGTCCACTACTATTGGTATTGCCATCGAGTCCCTCATTCATGGTCTTCCTCTACTTCAAGTGCATATGAGCTTCTCCCTTCTTGTTTGTTGTCTTTGTGCGTGTGATTCAATGATGAAGATTATGATATATGCATATTTTTTCTTTTATTCTGTTATTCTGCGCTGGTATGCTCAAATAGAGAAGGAGGGATTTGGACAAGTTGAAATTTTCAGATTATTGGAGCTAAATGAAGTAACTAGCTTATTTTGATTTGGTTAAAAGAATGAAACTTACGAAGCGTAATTAATCTAAATATTAATATGAGAAAATTTTGGAAAGGAAATTAAACAAGAGGCTTTGTAGTTGTTCGAAGTTTGATGCATATGAGATGTTTGATAAAATGGAGAGTTTTGCTTGAGTATGCATCCATAACATTGTTATTGGTTTGGGCATTATTTATTTAGAAAAATAAATTAATTTTTTGAAGGAATATATCTAAGAAGTTATTGAGGTCTAATTTGAGTTTTGATTCTTGAGGATTATATGACGGATAATCTATAAGATATGTTAACGTTTCGACAGTTACATTTGGATGTTGGAAATTGTTAGGCAAGAGAATTAAAGGTTACAAAGTTCTATTGTATAGTTTAAAATATTACACATTAGATGTAGGGTAGAAAGCTTAAGAAGTGATTAAATTTTAATTGAGTAGTTGACTTTGGCTTGAGTTTTATGAAAAAAACTTTTATGTGTGAATTGTGGTCCAAAAACTTCAAAGTTATTATAGTTAATTTTACTTGAGTAGGCTCTCTTGGAAAGGAAATTGTTGATTCAAAAGTAAAGTACATTAAGATTTTATTATGTTTTATAGGGTTTGTAAGATGGGTAGCTCGATTGGAGTATAAGAAGTGAGTTTTGAGCTTTGAATGTATTACAAGTAAGTGGATAGCATTCTAACTAATTTATCAATTAATTTTTCTTATTGAAATTTACTTTTTTACATTGATTATTTTAATAATAATTATGTTGATAAGTGAATACTTTGTTCATTAAATTTCTTCATTGTTAAGTTTCAAGATGGTGGTGAAAAATGATTCATCATAGTATATGAATGTTTTATCCCTTATGAGATATCCTTTCAGGATTAATAAAATTCTTTTTCATTAGCATTGACAATTTTTGATTATTCAATAAATGCAAGTATGAGCATTAGATATGAAACTTTATTCTAACAAGTTTTAATGCTTAAAAGTATTCATGTGAATTTGATTTTTGAGAATGAGAACTATATCTTGAAAATGATGATTTTCTCGCATGTTTGAAAATGGTTTTAAAAAGAGACTTTATACAGAACACTGGTTGCTAACGGCAGTTCCGTTAGTCCTTGGTGCGCCATGGTACACCTAACTAGTAGGGTATTTATAGGAGCTGCTAGCCCCGTGCGACGGCCAACGCACGTGGAATGAAGGTATGGTTATTTGTGAGCATCGTACTCACGTTTGTTTCGTGGTTTCAAACCGCATTTGGTTAGCATTATTCTCGTGAATTGTGTGTCCACATTTGTTTCATGGCTATGGCTGCATTTGGTTACTTATCCTCGTGAACTGTGTGTCCATGTTTGTATTCATAGCATAAGCCACGTTCGTTTATTTACCCTCATAGATTGTGTGTCTACGTTTATTTATTGTTTTGATAAATCCCTAAAAATTATGAATTTGATTATTTGGTGATTTTATATTCCATTAGTTTATATTTAGTAAACTATTTACAAATATTTATATTATTTATGCGCTTTCTTGAACTCAAGTGGTAATAACATTTGTTATGATAGTTTAATAATTTAATATTTTATTTAAAATTTTATAGAGCCATTTTATTTTGAAGTTTATTAAATTTTTATGGAAATTGTTATCTATTTAACTTACATAATTATTTCAAACCTTTTTTTATTCATATTCAATTATTTATTGTTGGGATGTTATTCACTGAAAAATATTTTATTTGGGCTTAGACATCATAGCTGATTTCGTACTCCTTGTTAATCTCTGATGGGCTCATAGTTGAATTGATCAAAAGATTACTTTTGAGAATATCATCTTATTCATGTAAAATTTGAAAACTTATGTAGGATCTTTTGGAAGTCTAATTTAGAGTGCTCCATATCAATTATAATTAGGGTCCTGATTTTTTTTTTATGTTAATTACTTGCTGTTGAGGAGTAAAGCTCTATATTGTTGGATATGTGATGTAAAATTTCTGTTGGAGAGATTTCAAAGGACTCTACTTTTAGGGGAGGTACTACAGGAATTTAAAAAAAGTTTGATATTTTGATTTATGTAAAAAGTAAAATTTGATACATTAATTCAAAACTTTTCTTAATTGAAGCTTTAGGGGATGTGAATTTGTACATATATTGCATGTTGGTCACATTAAAATTTTAGGATGTGACAAATATGTTCAAGCAATATTTTCAATAAAATAAGTTTGAGAACAAACTATTGAGATGTTATTCACTTACTTGAAATATTTTTAAATATATAATTTACTCCTAATTAATTATTTTTGTAGTATTGTCCATGCTTT